TATAAATACTATTGATGAGGTTTTCTAGCATCTTGGTGCTTTGGCATTTAGTCTGGTATGTTGGACAGGCATTTGGGGCGGGTGGTTGTACTACAAGTCTATGCCATGACATTGGACCTATGGGGGTCTCAGACGCCATAAACTGTGTAGTCTGGCTTGGAGTAGTGACCCATGGTTGTAGGCTACATAATGATGTAGCGTCCGATATGTTTTTTTGATTTTTTTTATTTTTATGGATTTACTGCCTTCAGACATGATATTGTCGGTTGTGTGCACTCAATCAGAGTTATATTAGATGCTATATGTGTATGGTTAAGACTCTCTTATGATTTTTCTGCCTTGGTTTTAATGACACAGTTATAATTTGATTGACTTATTAGAAAACTCAAAGGTGAAACCATACTTATACTAATTTGTTTATACTCATTTATCTGCTTTTGCCTTGAGGATTTTATGTCACATGAAAGAGCTGAAATAACTTTATATTTATTTCTAATTTGGCTTTTCATTGACGGAACAAACCTTGAAAAATGGAATATATATATATATATATATGCATACTCGTTCTGTTTCCATTAGATTTAGATTATATGCCATTCACTAGAAACTTGTGTTTTCAACTCTCTCTATTTTGCAGATTTTTGCTAGATATGCTGTGTTTTCCTCACGTACTTGCACTAGTACTTGAGATTCCACTACACAATAGACAGAGGTCAGGTCAGCAGGACCTTGGTTACCCTTGTCTATTATAATAAACATCTAGTAAATATATTAGGCATTTCTTTGGAAAGCAAGACATGCGTACGAGACAATGACTTATGGATGTAATGATTATGTTTCTACTATTCTGTAAATTATTTTGCCTTACTGCATTGTGGATGAATGAGTCTAGTTAGCATGCAAATAATACTTGCACAATTCATAGTATGGTTGTTTGTGCTTAGTTACCTATAAAATGCATATAACTGCAACAAGTACCACAGGTTCAATTATAAGGATACCAGGTAGGGGTTATAGCAGTCATCATACTGCTGGATTTTTGTTTTGGCAGCAGATGATTGTTGCTCCACTGTCACATTTGCCTAAGCAGAGGAGGGGCGTGACACTCTCTCTCTCTGAGTAACTCCTCTTTTCCTTCTCCTAGACCCATGGGTCATGGGCCCATCATCTTTACATTGATCATTGTTATCAATTAGATTGGGTTGAGTGCCTAGCCTGCTGAATGGGCAGGTTTCTTCATTGCATGTACTTGGTTTCATGAGGGAAGCTACCATTTGGCACCACCCCTTTCAGAGCAGAGTCCATTATGATATGGTGCATGGTCTTGGATTTGTGTGTGGAATTCATCTCTCTCTAAGGCTCAACTGGGTTTGGCATGATTAACTTCGTCCTCTAGCCATCTAAGCCACTTGACTCTGGTGATCCTATGGTTCATGGTCATTGAAGCATTGTCTTCGAGCATCTTGGTCTTCTGATGCTAAGTGTTGGAGGGTGATCAAACTGTTTTATGAAATAGTTGGTTGGCAAGATTTTGTAAATACTACACGGTGATTTTGCCATTTTTGAAGATTGTATCTTTTGACTTTGGCATTTTTGTGGGTTTTGGCAATAGTTTGCCTTGCTGGTGGATCTTTACAGTTTTATGGAGACTTAAAAAATTTTTGGTGCTATTTAGATGAGGCTTGACCAGTTTGGTCAATCTTGTTTGTCTCAGTGTTACTTCACCGTTTTGGGTTATATTATCAAGATTTTGCCATTTTGATGAGGGTTTTAATGGCCTAGTCTTTTTGCAAATTCCTTGGAAGATGTCGTGGTACCCTGTGTAACGAATGATCAGATACCTACCAAGTGAATTCCTGGTTGGATGCCCAACATGCTCCAAGCTTAGCTGGCATGATGACGTGGCAGGTGGACCAAGTACCTATAACTAATAAGAAAGCCGTGTCATTTTCCTCTTGAGTAATATAATAGGTATAGTTGCATATTGCTTTACATCTATTAGAGTCTAGGTCCTGATTTTATGTCCATTATTTATTCAGCCTGCTTTGGCCCAATCTTGTGTATTAATATATCCTGTTAATCTATGAAAGTCTATTTGCAATATTATTTTTAATTTTTAGATTTGCATTTTTGGTTTTTTTAGTGCTTTTTCATTTTCTAGTATCTGGTTTCTTTTTTGTCAAGTGAAAACAAAATCATTTTTCCCTGTATTAGTCTAATTTTTTGTCCAGAATAGTGTATCTGAATTACTGTCTATTCTAATGATTGCACTTGAAAAGAAAATAACTTGGGAAAAAATCAAACCAATGTAGAACTTAACATCAGTAGCAGAAAACGTTCACAAGCAAAGAATGCATGATGCTGTCTACTCAGGCAGCAATTGCTTGCATATGCCGAACAATAGTTATTATATAAATGTGATCATAACAAGATTTTATGGCAACACGTGTCTGGTAGACTTTTTTGTCATGAAGATACTAGGCAGGTTTAAAATAATGAATTCAACGATGTCATCTGTATCAAATAGTTGTAGCAGGAAGTGAAAATCAAATAATTGGCAATACTTGCATATTAGAGTTGACATTTCTACATACACAAGCATCTTTAGATTCATTATGAAAATTCCAATAGTAAATGAGAAGTTCTGTCAACACAGCTGCTAAGCTGCTTCTCAAGAAGGTCATATCATTCTGCATCCATTTTCCGCCTAAATTTTATATCTCCATTTGCTCCGTCCTGCTAAAGCTGCTTCTCAAGAAGGTCACAAGCCACATGCATTGATCCCAAAACTGATATGAGATATACAATAGTGTATTGATGACTGTCATTCTAATGTTATGTTCAATACTATGACTTTACAAATGATTTGTGAAATTATATTTATCACTATTTTTTCTATTCTGATCATTACAAACGTTGGGGTAATTGATGTCACGTTTTACTGTCTTCTAATGCAGGGTAGTCTCATTACCAGCAAACATGGACTTCATGATATTCAACCACCGTGGAAAAGCATTTTGTTTAGATGAAGGCCTGAAGTTGAAGTGAAGATACAAAAATGGAAAAAAGTGGGAACCTGTCTAATGTTTTGGTAGTTGTTATGGATGCTTTTCTAGATTCTCAGGTTAAATGCCACGTAAGGTCTTGCTTGTGGCAGCAGAAATTTTCTGATTTCCATGAATTTTGTTACAACATCAAGACCTGCAACCAGCTGTTTTACTGTTTGGATTTTTTAATTTAAATTTGGTGGTCATTTTATGGGATATTAGTTCTTCCCCGAGGTTTATCATCTCAGTAAGGCGGCTGTTGTGGATTTGTCATCCTTTCAGTGGGTTTGGGGCTAAAATCTGCCGCACTGGAACTGGCATCAATACAAAGGAAAAAACACCTGCATGTCTCAATATTGTTTTACGATTGTCATGTAAATCTGAACGTGATTAGAAACAAAGTTCTGGGATTAACAACATGAAAACCTTTTGCACGAACAAAATTTTTGTACTGCTCTTCGTGGTGCATGTGAAAATCCTTTACGGGCGAAACTACAATTACACGGACACCATGTAGAGCTTATGATATGAGTAGCGTCCGGTGTGGGCATGAACGAGCACATTTCTTATTTTTTGCGCGACATCTAAAATACGTATTATGTTTAAAGTGTTTACGAGCACATATCGTACATGTAGTCTAAAGTACACGTACTCCGTGTATTTAAAAGCATTAGAAAAACACATCAAATATAGGAAACAAAACGAAAGACAGAGGAGTCCGACATCCACTAGCATGATCGCAACTACGCATGGAAATGCCTTTTCTAAATTCATGCACCCTTGCTACTGTTCCGCTATGCATGCACGTTTCCTACTTATGTTCTATACATTCCTTATCAGCCTAAGTCACTACCCAAAGCGGACTGAACATTTCCCTCCACCAGCTCCTCTTCATCAACAGTCCTTTTCCTTGAATCCCCGTTCCCACACCCTTGTATGGTTCAAGGCTTCGCCACGATTGCCACATTTCCAAACGCATAATTGACAAAAGCATATATCAAACACATAATTGATAGGAGCATTATTATGTGATGATGTTTGGTTTCATGCTCTTTTCTTTCCCCCCAGTGAAACAAGGTTTTTATGATGCCTTCTTTTGAATACCGTAAAGAATTAATTTATGAGTTTTTATTAGTTGATTTATTTAATGTAAAAGTGTACGCCTCTTAAAATGCCAAAAGTTTGTTTAATTTGGGATTTGCAAAGCCTCTCTAAATATCTGTAATATACAAACACATGCATATTTTTGAACGGAAATGATTTGAGTAAGGGGCTAGTGGGGTGTATGGCACTTGATAGTTTTGGCTCTTTAGGCTTCTAAACTTTTAGATTCTAGGGATATATAGTATTTTCAAAATCTCATAAACTTAATTTTTAGGTTTTTTTAAAAACATTTTACACATGAAAACCTAAGAATTTTGAATTGCAAAAGTTGTGATTAATTTTTTTTTTAAATTTCAAATTGGGGTTGTTCAGGTTCAATTCTGAAGGCTTCTTCTTCTTCTTCTTCTTCTTCTTTTCTTCTTTAAAGAAAAAGTCCTAACATTCATGAGTTCAACTTCTGCCGCTCCCCTCCCCCAGTTTAGACTGAAGCCTCAATATAATCCAAAGTAAAATAAAATAAAACAAATCTTTGTTTATGCTTTCAATTTGGATAAGAATGTTCAAAAGATTTAGGGGCTGCTATAAATGAGAAATCCCTTTCTCTTTATGGTGTTTTCTTCAGGGGGAGGCCAGTTTTTTGAAAGTGGACTACTCATAGGTGACAATAAATGAGGGTTGGGGCAGTGGACACAAACACGGCCCACCTTGAGCTATAAATACATGGCTACTGCAACTTCTGTTTGCACACAAATCATATAAAATCAGACAAACTTTCCACTAGAAACCAAAAAGGTCCAACACAAAAGAGATCACCCTCCCGCCGGATTTCTTTTTTTTTTTGGGTCTCCAATGGGTCTTAGGGTTAAGAATGCAGCAAAGCAACTGCAAAGGTGCTTCCACCACCTCAAGCGCATGAAGAAGATCGCAGACGAATCAAACCCTACTCGAGGATACTTCCCTGTGGTGACCATGGGCAACGCCGAGGCAAAAAGGTTTTTGGTTGATTTGAGCTACCTTGCTTATCCTCCCTTCCTCAAGCTGTTGGAAGAGGCTGAACATGAGTTTGGATTTGATCAACCTCGTGTCTTGACTGTGCCATGTGATGCAAATGAGCTCCATACAATCCTCTTGAGAAAAAGAGTTATGAGTGACATGACAAGCTCCATACAATCCTCTTGAGAAAAAGAGTTATGAGTGACATGACTTTGAAAAAACTTGCAACATAAGGCTGAAAAATGAAATGTTGTTTCCCCTTTGAATTTCACATTACACCAGAAAATGCTCATTTCCTGCTCCTTTTCCTTTTTTATATAAGCAATAATTTACATTAGAAAACACCTGTCACATGCCATTCATCTACAACGTCTGATTGAAATAAAACAAAATGTAGAAAGCTAACTCAATCCACCCGACACCAACCCCAACCCCCAACCCAGGTTCTAGAAACTCAAGAAGGTGTCAAGATGAAGCCCCTGCCCAAAAGCTAACTGCATGAAAATAGCCACAACTGACCTTCAACCAATCCAAGCACATTCCTTTCTCTTCATCTCAAATTGACCAACCACAACAAAAACAAGACACCAAATACCAAACTTTTCTCCCAATCTCCTTTCCATCATCAAAGCAAGTACCTCCCCAGAAACCTTATAAGAAAATTTTCAATCCATCTCAGAAACTGTTCAACAATGCTCCCACAAGTCCCCTATCAACTGGCGGTAAGTTGAGATGAATTAGAAGCACAAGATGAATACAGATGTTAGGGGTTCAGATGCTATGGACCCATCCTCCTTGACTTGCCAAAAAGCTTTTTGAGGAAACTAAATCAATTGAAACAAGACTTCAAAATTGACCATTTGATTTGTTTCCAGGCAAAAACAATAAACAAAAATCTAGTTTTTAAGTCTCTCCCAGGACCCAGAATGTTTGGCAACCTGCAAAAATGCTATTTCTTATGAGCTACTCTTCACTGTGAACTTGTGTTTCAGTGAGGGGCAGAACAGCTACCTCAAGGGGCCTCTGGTTTCTCCAGCAATCAGGCTCAAATCATTGCCCCATAAGTCATGCAACTAAGTTCCGTCTGCATTTTTTATGCTTACAAGCTGCTGAAACTGGGGTTTCTAAACACTGCAAATAAATATAACACTAAATGGTTTATAGGCATGCATACATGTTCTTACACGTGCATGTATCTATATGCATGTACTTGTATTATATAAATCAACTCAACTCAATGAAGTCATTTACCAAACACAAGTGGTCAGTTACATGCTCCTACATATTCATAATATCTAAAGATATGTTCTCAAAGTATTGGGTGAGGCCAGGAGCCACCAAGATCCAAGCTGGCCCAGTTGATAATTTTAGGTTTGAGCTGGGCTTTAATTCCAGAGTGTTGGTAAAAACCAAGATTAACACTATCTAGGAGTACTGTATTCTTATTGGGTGAGATACTTTGAAAGGCTCTTCATAACTGTGAGCTGCCTTTGAGCAATCCTTCTAAAACGGATTTTTTGGTGTTATTCTTCAGCTGGACAAATATGTCTCAAAATAAAAGTCTATCAGACAACTAAAGGCTTGATACACAAGTCCGGACCAATAATCCTATGAATGGACTCAGCAAATACCTTAACTGCCGAAACTTTTGCTAAAGACTTGGAAAGAATTGCTCAACCATCCCACTCAGTCAATTTAACTTTTCCAGGGGCAAATGCCCCTTTTAACATTCATACTAACGAGAGTGTCTAGGTCTATTCATGTTGTTTTCTTATTTTGTAGAAAAGAGAAAAGAAACAGAAAAGAAAATGTGAAATGACATCAAGTAATTGGTGCATTTAACTATACTCCGAAAAAAAATGAACAATTGCGAGCCATAATACTGTTGTCAGTATAAAATTACCAGTTAAACTGGCATTTTATAATTTAAATGGGCAACGCTCCTAAAATACATAACAACAGGACAAAAAGTATGCAATCAAAATTTGAGAGTGGAATAAAGAGAAGTAACTTCATTTATCAATGAATTGGCTGCAGGATAAAGCCCTTGCCGGGTTTGAAACACACATTAGCATACCTCAAATTGTTTTCAGCTGGATTCTCTAAACACCGTGTGTTAATATGCCATTCTAACTCTTCAGCTTCATTGATGCACTGCTAACTTTACTAATGATGCAATGACTATCATCAAGTTAGCTATCCAATAAATTTACAGTTGAGTGAGTTCCTGTGGGTTATCCATAGACTGTCTAAGAATTAACTCAGCTCTCCGCTTCTTGTCGTCCTTCTCATCATCCCGTCCAACCCAAGATGATGTTTTCTTAGAACTTTTGCTCCAAAGGCTCAAATCCACTGATTCACCTAGAATTTTCTTTCCAGTTTTGAAATTGAAACGCACAGAAGGCCTGTGGTTTGGAAGAACCTTTTTGCCATTATCTACTGTATCACAAATACCATCTTTCATAGCTTCAATAGCAGGAGCAAATGTGTCTAACACGGATAAACTATTTTCAGCAGCAGCAGCAGCATCATCCAAAAGCATAGCTGGCCGAGAAGCAGGAGAAATATCTCTCTCTCCGGCTTGAAGAGGTCTAGCAAGAAACGGATTAGTAGTTTTGGCAATTTGTAAATCCTTCTGGTCATTATTTTCACCAGCTGAAGTGGAAGCAACTGCAGCACCGTTGGTGTTGCATACCAATCGCTGCTGTAAACTCAATAAAGACCGCTCTGCCTTCCTCCTCTGCCTGGCTAGCTCAATTTTGTCAGCACGAGGATCTGTTGCCCTTTCATTCCAGGTGGGAGTATGCTTGTACGTGTGAGGATCGGGAAATGCCGGCAACCATGGTGGTATGTGCTTGAATGTTGGGTTTTCATTCATTTGCAGAAAACTTGGGGTCAAAACCCGATTTCTTATCACTGGAAAGTGAGGGACCGGTTGTGCAAATGGAATCTCTTCGGCACTCTCCACAAAGTCAATAATCTCCTTCACCGTGCCTGAACCAGTGAGACAATAACTGACCTCGAAAGCACCAGGAAAACCCCTAGAGGAACTTAAATCTTCCAATCCTTGCACAATATCAAACACATTACACTCAGACCTACCAGCTAAATTGGCATAAAAGCTCGCCGTCTTTCCTAAGTCACAGAGGTACCGGACTGCAATATCAGTGAGAGACTCCAAAGCAGACTCGCTGAAGCTTTCAAATCCAACACTCTCACATACCTGTGCAACCGCAGTCCTCGAAACTGCTCGGCCAAACTCGTCAGCGTTCGCTCGTTTCGGAGCTTCATCTTCATTCTCCGTCTGTCTCTTGCTTTCCACTTTACCACCATCGCTCATATTCAAAACCTCGTATTACTACCAATCTTCGCCAGCGAGTAAATATTCACAAAGCTCATTCAATTCAGACTTTCAAGCACAATGCACCGCTCGGGGAAGCCCTAGGACTGAATTGCAACAAAACAACAGAACTAACATTATGAAAACGTGAATACTCACGGTGATTTGTCGGAACTTGACTTGAATCTCACAATCATTGACGAAAAGCACGTCACTGGACGAGAGAATCACCGAGGGATGTACCGGTTGTGCAAGCCCTAGAGAAAGAACTAAATTTCTGAAATTGAGACCTCCCAAATGCAAAATCGCGGAACGGTTTGGTTGGCAGTTAAGGGTTTATAAATTGTCAATAAACCCTAAAACAGAGCAAATAGCCAACGAATCAAAACCGGAAAGAGAGAGAGAGAGAGAGAGAGAGTGGAAGGGGAAACCGTTGAAATGGAAGGTCCCATTTATAGAACTCGGGACTGCTTCGGGTAAAGTCGACTGACCCGAGCCCTATATTTACATTGTCCTTTTTTTTAGAAGAATTTTTTTTATTTTTTTCCCTTAAAAATTCGGTAAAACTCCGACAGCTGCAAAACATTATTAACGTCGTTAACTAAAGAAAAGAAAATAAGGTAATAAATTCGCATTATATATATTTTTGTCTTTATCATTGTAAAAAATTATATTATTTTTATTTTAACAAATTTAAATAATACAATATCACTCATTAATATAGAAAATAATTAGGATTTGTGAAGCAAATTATTCATTTCATCAAGTTTGTGAGCTAAATAACTCAAAAATAGATCCAAATTAAAGTGATTAACTGGGGACAAAATTAATTTAGTAATTTGAAATCCGACCAACTAGAAATTTTATTTGAATTTTATTTAAAACAAAAACACTTCACTCGGTAAAATTTTAAAATTTGAAACCATACCAAGTATAAATATATAGAAGAGGTATTTCTCTAGTAAATATTAAAATCAAAATACTTATCCCGCTTATCAATATTTTGATGAAATATTTAATGAAACTCTATTTTTAATTGCATAAATATCTTTTTAATTATTATTGAAGCAAAAGTTAATGCACTTTCAAGTAGAATTTTGATAAAATTCATGTTGATTGTTAAATTTTTATTACCGATTGTTGATTAACAATATTGACTAAACGTCATTATTTTTGAATTTTATTAATTTTCTCTTTGAGTTAAAAAGTCACATATATTTATTTTTTACAATTATTTATATTAAAATATTTATTTTCTTTAAAAATAAATTTTTTTGTAAATTTTCTATAATAATAATTACGGAAAGGATGAAATTCTTTAGAGTGAAGTGATGATTTTTTCTTTTATTTATATAATTTTTATGTTATCATGTATATTTAAAAGTGATTTCTAAATATTGTTTTTTCTAAAGAAAAATAATTTGTTTGTACATTTCTTGTTTCCGCCTTCTTCTGCATAGAAGTGTATTTGAACAAAGGGCAAAAGCTAACCAGATAAATGTAGAAGGCAATTCGCAGCACATTTTGACGCAGAGCGTGTGTGTGTGTGAGAGAGAGAGAGACAGAGAGAGAGCTGTGGAGAAGTTTTTTGGAATGCGTACAGAGGCGACCTGGGTGTTCCGCACGCAGACGTTGATTGCTTTGTGATCGCCTGGACTGGATACTTCGGTTTCTCCGCCCTCACCAGTTTGTAGCTTAGGGCTTTTGCATCTGATCACAAAGTTATGTTTTATTGCGATTTTGCCTTCACTTCCATTCGCTGATATTTTGTTCGGCCTGTATACATGCATAAATATAACGCTTTGCTTCTCTTCAGCTGTTGTGAACGATTAACGATTGCTGGTTATAAGGGAATGGATTTATTTCAGGCTTTCTACTGTTGGTGATTTCTGGTTGTGCTAAAATGGGGTTAACACAGCTCGACAAGTTTTTTTGGTAACTAGGTATCTGGGCTTGTTTAGTCTTTAAGCTAAAAAGCCAGAAGTCAGTAGGTGCAAAATATTGGCTTTAGGCTTTTGTGATTCTTTTGGCTTTAAAAAGGCGAACCATAATAGCCCAGTAACAAGGGTACCAAAGATCTCCTATCTTATATCGCGTTTGCAGCCTCAAGCTACAAACCATTGAGCCATTCCTAAAAGGCATTTCAGAAGCATGAAAACCAAATGCAAGGAATTGAATAATTTCTTGGAAATCCTAGTTGTCAACGGATGTACTTTATGTTCCCAATACTTATTTTCTCCCTTTATTATAACAGAATTCTAACGTGATAAATATGAGAACTGATTGTTACTGAATTTGCATCTATAACAAATGTATAGTGTGTAGGTTTCAGAAAAACACTAGACTTTGTTTCTAATACTTGACAGTTCCGAGAACTATAATCTATAGCAGTAATGTGATCTGTTAGTGGTAGAGATTTGGACAATTTTCTATAGCTCTTCGGCCTTTTCCAAAGGTTGTTGGAAAAAAAAAAAATCTATTTGTTTTTCCTCTGTATGAGTTCTTTGCTGTTAGCAGCAGAATTAATTCCCGCCCCAAACTTTCTTTTATGCTTCCTTTGATATTAGGATCAAGGGCTTCCTTTTTCCAACAAGGCGGTCTGGTTGCATGTATCACACCTGCCCGTTAGTGATAATTCAGGTCAAGGAAAAAAAAAATTGAACTAGGATACCTGAAAAAAATTTTGGAACAAGGATGTGAAGTGTCCTGAATCCTAGAAGGGGGTGACTGACATATAAAGCGATTTTAAGATACATTTTCTAGGAAATGGTAACGGCTGTGACGCATGAATCCTATATAATTGTTAATCTGCATCTATTTGGTTCCTAGAGATGACAGTTTAATTTAGGTGAGCAGTCTCCCAATTTCAAATATTTATTCTTTTACTCTAAGTGAAGTTTGCAGTCTCTGCCTTGTGTGCTGTCTTGAAGGTTTTCCCCTTTTCTTCGTTTCTTTTATTGTTAGGACCTTGAAAATTCAAAACTAAATTATGCTTTCTTACTGTTGACTTGTATTATGGTCACTTGATGTGGTTTGCTATTTACCAGCGTGCTCTGTATATTGCCCAGTAGGATGACGGGGTTAGTTACAGCATTGTAAATTTACTCGGAAGCTTTCTGTTCGATGCAATGTTTTGCTTGGTTCTTCTTCTTCTCTCTCATCTCTTCCTTAGACACCCTTTATGTTTGCCTCTGATATCAGTGTCTTAATACGCCTGAACATGCAGCTGGCGCGACGAAGCTATGATATTTGAGGATCTTCCATTGGAAGAAAACACTGGAAGAAGAAATAGCCCTATAATTTTAAGATAGATTGTCTGTATATAGCCTAACTCCTAGGCCTGATTTGATGATAAATCAAAGGCAATGGAGGTGATTGTCTTTTTTTGTTTCTTTTTGTTGCAGCAGTGGAACCAGTACATGGAGAGGGAGACCAGAGACTACTCCAACTGACCAGTCTATATGCCTTGGTATTTCATATTATTCCTGGCTACTTCACTTGGATTGTTCTTCTGGGGGGTTTATTAGGAAAGTCACCTAATATGAGAAAATATCCCTTGTAAAATTGCAAGCACAGGAGAGGAGAAGACTGGAGTCTTTTTAGAAAACTAAAACATATATTATTCATGATAGAAAGTCTAAAACTAGTCCATATTAACTACAGAGTCATCCCCAGGAGCCGACTGTAATTGCAAAGAAAATTAATGAACAAATTTTGAGGACGTACATTGTACAGGTACAAAGATCATCGGCGCCAGCTATAACTTATTTTCTTTACTTCTTTTCACGCAGAGTAAAATTTAAGAAAAAATAATAACCAAAAAATAATCCATAATGATAGAAGCATCATTAACCAGCTTGCATTATATCTACTCATTAAATGGTTGTGTTGAGCTCCTCAAATAATGACGAAGGTCTTCATCCCAAATTATTAAAATTCAATCATTTTCTTTATCCTTGTATTGAAATTAATAATTTCCAAAGTGTATCCCGATAAGGATCTTTATAACTTGTTGCGGCAAGTCTACAATTCTAGATGACAATAAAAGTAGTAATTTTATAGCAAAATTATCACCATACATTAGCTTTGTATCAACATCGTTGATACTTTCCAATGACATATAAATTTGCATTTCTGAAGTATAAGTAGCCCTGGGTGTTAATGAGGCAGATTGGAATTTGGAGGAAGAACCTGATCCTGAGCAGCATTTTCCACGGATGCGCTATCCGCAGCACCATGGCCCCTGTTTCGTTTGCGGGACTGTATCAATAGATTTCATATTCCCTACAAAATCTCTTCAATGGTGGCTCCATTCGGTCGTGGGAATAGTGTTGTTCCTTCAAATGATTCTGACAATCAAGAGGGTAATATTCTGGAAAAGGATCCTTGGGTGATCCGGCAGACTTAGGGAATTTGTTTGAAGCTTCATTTGAACAAAATAAATAAATGACGAAGTCAACTAGGCACACAAGACTTCATCCTATAACCATAAAACTAAATTTAATAAAAAAAAATTTAGAGATTTAAAAAATGCATTAAACTAAATTTGATAAAAATCAGTTCTTGAAATTCTAGTTTATACAGGGAAATCTTTCTTCTTGGGTAAGAATTTGTGACAATATTATTGTAATTTTTTACTTGTTATATTAAATTTTTCTAAAATTAAAGACACTTGTCATAGCTTGTTAAAATATAATTATTCTTGTCTTAATAAGTTTGTAATCTTTATTACTATATGTTTCAATTTTAAGAATTTAGAGGAAGAAAAAAGTTAAAATTTTATAATAGATTTATCTCAAATAGATAATTCAAGTTTTTTTTTTTTGGAGAAATTTAATAACAAATTCAAGTTGCAAACTTACTCCTCTCCACCCTTGGCAAAAGATCCATTTTAATCTTTTCCCATTTTTGAAAACAAAATAAGCAATTTGTCATTTTTACCTCATACATTTAGCGACCAACTTTAAAGAAAACTGAAAATACTTAAAAATTTTAAGCTGAAAAGAATAATTTTTCAAAATTAAATTTTTTATGGTCCTAGAGAGTAATTCAATTTTATTATATTATATTCATTTTCTACTCCCAACATAATTCTCAATTCCATCTCTTATCTTGATAAATCAGAGCACAAAACCAAAATATAAAATAAAACAATTAAACTATTCATCAGAGGAAATGATTTCTTTTCTTTTCCTTCTATATATTTGGCAACAATCCTTCGAAAGATCGTCAGTGAAGAGAAAGGACTTGGGGTTTGTTCAATTCAATGGAGAGAATATCAATGAAGATAGTATTTTACAAGGACCTACTAACCCAGAAAACATGGAAGAAAACAAGGAGAGATACTCTATCCCTTCTCCTACTTATTGTTTAATTATGGTGCTTAGCTACCAAGGGACATGAATAGTTGAACATAGTGTTGCTCCGTATTTTTTCACCCAAACTTTTTGGGTCGCGATTAAATTGCCTTTCGAGAGTTTAGTTATTTACGGAAAATAAGACAAGAAAATAGAAGCGAGAACTTGCACTGAAGACGCGCTTTCTTGAGGTCGTCATTCCTCCTCGTCTGCCTTCCAACCCAGAATATGGTTATGGCTCTACTTCAAATCCTAAATTCCAAAAATTTCCCTTGCAGAGTTTGGATAAGCACACAGTTGTAAATAAAGTGGAACCCAAGTAATGGCCTTTCTCCTCCACCTTCCCCCATCTTTGTCGTTCCGAAAATCCGGTGTTCCCGCGATTACAGCGCCAGTCAGAGCTTCGTCTCATCTATCTTCCCGGAGTAACTGTTCAACCCAGGTTCAACTGATTTCAGAGAATGGGTCGCCGATATCCGATCCAAATCCTTGAATCTCGCGCTTTCCGGGACTCTGTCCCTCGCTCTATCTCTCACAGGTCACCGTCTTTAGTTATCCACAATGCCATTGCAGTTAAAATTATGTTTCTACCAGTAAGACTTCAAGACTGTTGATTTGTGTCAATGGAAATCATAAGTGGTTGATGGGTTATGCTTTCTTCTGGAGAATTGATGAGCTGATCTTTGTCACAATCTCTAGTCTATAAACAATAATTCAAATATCAGGAGGCTACTGCGAAGCATTCTGCATTTTGATCGATTGTGAAATAATAAGCATCTTCCCGAACCTGCTTATTATGAAGAAAAGATTGTGATATTATGTAGTAAGTATTGGCGGCTGGATAGATAGATTAGAGATACTGCACCAATGATCAGATGGTGGTTTAGATGTAAAAAAACTTTAATTATATGATTAATTATAAATTAAATTTGGTTAAGGGACTATTAGCTTCTGAAAAACTCTTTAAGCTTCCAATATGAGAAGAAATTTGATGAATTTCTGCTTAGTTTTTTTCAGAACTTAATCTGTTGAACATGTTTATATTCTTCATTAGACCATGGACTAAAAATGAAATTTACCACCTCTTTATAGGAGTTGCTTTTGCTGAGGGAAAAACTGGGGTTAACAAGCCAGAACTACTTCCAAGAGAGTTTACTACAGTCATTGATGTAGCCGTTTCCTTTCGGATGGACAGGTGTGGTTTTTGTTGTTTTGTAAGTTGTAATGCAGGCATTTTCTTCAGTAACTTGACTTGTGGCTGCTGTTGGACTATCAAAAACCCATAGGCGAGTTTGGGCAATATGAAGTCTTTTTGCTGGTATTAATTGACATCCATCTGCCTCAGTTGGCTCTTGTTTTTTACAATAACCAATGCTGTCAGCGTCATTGTCTTATTGCCATCACCTTCTTCTTCTATACTTCTCTGTTATTCTTCATACTCTCCTTTTTCTTACTCCCCCACTTTCTTATGGGAACTGTTATATTACTTTTGAAATCTCTGGTCCTGAGAAAATTTTCTGGTTTGGTTTTACTGAGATAAAATGATACGAAGTTCAACTACAGCAAATATTTTTTTCAGATGAGAACTTTTTCTACATATGTTCAGTGCTTTCTTTTGTGGCAAGCATGATTAATAGCTTAAGGTCTCAAGATTTAATTTTGTTGGAACCATGTGTGTGTTTTTTCTGCCCCAGTAGTACACTGTTAACTTCATTTAGGTGCCAAATTTGACTCAAGATAGAGCAGATGGAAAGATAGAATTCATGTAGCCAACTCCATGCAGTGGGAAAAGGCCTTGTTGAGTTGAATTAAGGTGCCAAACTTCTTCTGTCTGATGAGTGTATTATGTCAACTTCACTATGTAGTCCTGGTGATTTATCTGATTTTGATTTATAGGATGGTAGTCCTGTTCAGTATGGTTCATGGAAGAAAAATGATAACCTTGACTCATCTAAAAATAGTTATTTTTGTTTAGCATCTTGGTGTTTTATGCAGATGAAAGATTTTGAATCCATTCAACAAACAGGATACATGATTCTATTTTAGGTTAATCCTATACCATTATCTGCAACATAACAGGGACTTTACCTGGTAAAACTGTTTCTTTGGATTCTTATCATTGAAGTGTTCATACAGCTGAAGGTTTGGTATTAATTTGATGATAGGAAATATATTTTCATGTTATGCTAATGCAGCATAAACACATTGCAGGAGAAAAGACTTGCTCAGGAGATTGCTGATATCGAGAAGGATACTGGATATAAGTTGAGAGTTGTTGCTCAGAACTATCCTCAAACACCTGGTATATTTCTTTGAATCTAAAATAACTCTATTATTATTGACTAATAATTAAAAAAAAAAAACAGAAGATTATTAAATCCATGCCCGAAACCTGCTGTTTCACAGCCCCATGTGAGAGAGGAGGTAGATCCAACACCAGCAAACATGGGGATGTAAAATAGGTTGCTTCAGTCTGGATTTAACGAAGCTCAATAATTAATATCCTACATTTTAGGGCATAATTGGAATCACTGTGCAATTCTCAACCTTTTTCAGGTTTAGCAATTAAAGACTATTGGCAAGTTGATGACCGAACTATTGTCTTTGTAGCTGATCCCACCTTTGGTAGGGTACTTACAAATTACAACAAAGTATTCTATTTTGTAGTTTTATCTGCCAAAGATGACTTACAGATGTTTCCCTTGTTAATCAGGCAATATAATAAACTTCAATGTTGGTGCTACACTGGACTTAGACATACCGCGTAGCTTTTGGAGCCGATTAGCTGGGAAGTATGGAAATATGTTTTATTGGAAAGAAAAGGTGAAGCTTTCTTGTGACCTCCATCATGTGATGACTCTTTCTTTGTACATTATTTATTTAGAAATGCTATGAAACAGGGGGAAGATGCATCTATTGAAGCTGCTGTCATGGCAATATCAAGTTGCTTGAGAGAACCAGTAGGCCGAAATAATTGCTCAGAGGTAAAATAATGTCACCAAGCATACTGTAGGTTAATTTTTTATTTTTTGTTTTGGAAGGAAGTGTGCGATCCTTCCTAGAGATGTATTTCTTACATTCTAGATTATGTATGATATATATTAGTGCTGATCGAATCATCTGGTTATATTTGCGGTAATATGAAACTAGTCTTATTGTATCTTGAATTTCTGCATCATTGTTTACCTGTGAATACTGTTTAGGAAATAAAATTCTATATGGTTGAAGTTCTCGCATCCCATGCCCTTACTACTTCTGCAGCTTCTTGCCCACATCTGGCTGCAAAAATTGCTGCTAACTTCGTGAAATCCATGACATGGGAACAGAAAGACGTATGTCTAATTGCCAGTGACTCCCCAGTTGCAATTCATGAATTTCCTTATTAATGCTTCACATTATTTGTCATAATTCCTATGCAGTTTAGTGATTGTTTCTGCTTCAGACTGATTACTTTGATATAAATCTCATGGCAGATGTAGTGATGTAACTGAACATGTTTGATGTCAGTCTTATGTAGTTATGTTAGAGAATCCTGACTATCTAAGTGAAGGATTAAAGGTGCTCTTCCCACTAGAGAGCTGATGGTGCTATACGTAGTTCTGTATCATAAATCCAATTTTCGCTCATTCTAGGAGGAATTCTGAGTTATAGCTGTATTTGACTATGTATTACAAATGGAATGGTGTTGGAAACCATATTGCCTTTTTCTTGTTACTAGGAATCATCATGAAATTTATCTAGAGAGAGAATTAGGCTTTAAGCCAGCCAACCCAGATTTTCTGTCTTAGTTGAATTTAGTGGTCTAACTTGGCAAGTAATATATCACCCTTGAATTCTCCTCTATTCTCTCGTTCAAACATGTCTCTTCTAGATGAAAATGTCACTTAGTTTCTAGAAAAATTTTTAGCAATCCTAAATCCAATCATCACCAGAAAATATACTAGTTTGAATTAATAAGTGAAAGTATCACCAGAACCAATTTGTTATGCACTGATTCACATGCAATGTTTTCATGAGCAAGATATAAGGGCCATCAAAAAAAGCTTGTGACAGAAAAGATTGCAGAAAAGAGTACTCTGGTACACATAGCAGTATGACCCTGTATAGACACATTCCAAAAGTTGGTGTATATTGGTTTTTGCACCCTAAAAAAAAAGAAAAAAAAAAGAGAAAGAAGTAAAAATAAGAAAAAAAAAAAAAGAAACATTCACAGAGAGACTCTCTTCCTCTTCTTTTGATTTTTCTGTATGAGAAATAATATCTATGAGATGCTAGTTAAGAACATTTTTAGAAGAACTCAATTTGTGATAACGTTCAGCTTACATCCAAGTATTCAAGTTCATCTTCTGCTGCACTATTCTGATTAGATGGGTTTTAAGATTAGATGTTGCAGCAGAATCAGAACATCAGGGCTTGCTACTCATCAGCAATACTTATCAAGATTCAAGAACATTTCTATTCAAAGATGCATTTAATAAGAAAGAGTTACATTGCAATATTATGACGATGACTTTATCACACTTCAATATACTATAAGGGTGCAGGACCTCTAGGTAGTTATTAAAATGATCCATATAGAAAAATATCGAACTTTCCACTTTTTAGTTATGTGAGTTTCACTACTATCATTTTTTTCTACCACGAACACACTTTATTAGCAGTTGACATTCTAGCAACTACAGAGAAGCAATTACATAAATGATCTGCAGGAATTGCTAAAGTAGAGAAGGTACTTTCAAATAATTACATTAGTGTGAATTCTTGCCGCTGTTTGTTCTCTGTATTGGTGAAATCGTAGTTATCCTATTTTCAGCACCAGAATTTTCCTTTTTTCTGTCCTCCAATATCTTCTGTAAGTCCTCAGGTTGGCAAGGGACTGCAAGAGTGCTCTTCTGTCTGTAACCATATTCCTCTTTAGCCCGCTCTAGTAATAGCAAGAATGCAGGATTAGTGAGGTTATCTAATTCAACTATAATCTTTTTCGGTCCTGATCTGTTTCTGAAAACATGGCAAAATGCCCTTCTTTTACATCATCTGCCACTTCTGGTTCTGCATCAAATTCAACCTTTTCATGTCCCAACCTCCACTGTGAGAGTGAGAGACCCCTATGTAGCTTTTCGAATGGAACTTTAAGCGTCATGAAGCCATCGTTGCTCTCTTTGCTATTCTTCACAGACGGAGATACCTTAAAAGGAGCTTTTGAGAAAATATGTTGTTCTGAAATATAAAATTCTCACTTTTCCAGGGGAGCTTTGGTAGAATTTATTCTGCCTGGGGAGAGGAAGAGAAAGAGAGCTGAAATTTCTAGCATGGGTCCATTGCATATGGTGCAAGTATTGTATCATAATTGCATATCTGACGGGTTAATTCCCATGTTTCTTTGTCTGCTAAGGTGTGGATTCTACCCTCAAAAAAAATCCTCCCATCTGAAATGGGGTAAGAATTTCATTGACATGGTTGGTGGAAGTGGGGGCTTTTTCACTGATGATATATTCTGGCTATAGTTGATTACTCTCTGATTCTTTCTTGGAAATTGATAAAAAAAAATGTTTACTTTATTCAAATAAAACTGGGAAAATGTTTGCATTGCCTATTTGTGGAGTTGGTGCCCGTTTGGATATGTTCTTGAAAATAATTTTCTGTTTTCAAAAACAGAAAAACAAACCCACAACATGTTTTGGAACCTGTTCTTCTAAAAAATTTTTGAAAATAAAGTTAAGAATTTTGGCTGATTTTTTTAACAAGAAAAAGTTGTTCTTAAAGAGGCAGAACACAAATATTAAGGTTTGGGGTTTTCTTGGAGGAAGAAGAAGAAAATACAAGTTTTCAAGAATCCCATGATAAAACAAGTTTTCAAGTTTTTGTTTTCAGGAAATGTTCTACATAATAGTTTTGCATTACGGAAGACATATCCAAACAACCTGTTGTCATTTTGCTAGGAGTGCTCATGCATGAACACGTGTTTTTAAAAAGATTTTACAATAACAACGTGCCATCTGCATGTTCAATGGTTTATAGTTTGTCTTATAATTCCATTCATTTGTGACCATTAGGGCACCTGCCTTAGCACGCATCAATACGTGTTTTAAAAATAGTTTACAAATAACAATATTATATTAAAGACACATTTTACGTTTACTAAACAGTGGTAAAAATGATAAAATTGTCTTAAATTTATTTAATGACAGTTTATGTGTTGTAATTTGTGTTCAATCATGAAAGAGTTACTTATTATTTGGTACATATATTATTATTTTTATTCATTTCCTAAATGTTTTAATTATAAATATAATTAATATAAATATTTTAAAAAATTATAATTTTAGTTGTATATCATCTATCAATAAATTTATATTAATATTAATAAATTTTATTATCTAAATAGATTTTTTTATTGTTCATATTGAAAAATCGGATGGCAAAAAATCTCCTTCTCCCTGTCTCCATATAAAATTCCTTTGCATTTTCTCTAAGTGATTAATGATAGTTTTTAGAAGCTTACTTACCAACATAGGAAAAATAGGGATGGCATACAGGGCTGATTTAGCCAATATGGTTCTTCCCGCCATGGAGGGGTGGTTTATCTTTCAGCATGTTTATCTCACTTTGACTTTTCAATTATATACTGAAAAACTCTTCTGTTTGCCTCCCTAGACTAAGAGAATTCCAAGGTATTGCCCAGGTTACTCGATCCTGAGAAGCCGCACACATCTACAATCATGTGTCTCTAATCTCTGTTCACATTCTTAGAGAAAAAGATATTTGTTTTACCCTTACTGAACTGTTGCCCCGACAAGGCACAAAAGTCCTTCAAGCATTCCATAACACATTTGATCTATTTCACACTTGCCTCACCAAACAACAATAGATTGTTAGCAAACATTAGGTGGAAAAACAGTGGTTTGTCCCTACCAACTTTGATAGGGACTCTCCTACCTTCCTTGATTCTATTCTCAATTATTTAGGATAGTTTCTCCATACAAAACACAAAAAGATACAGATACAATAGGTCATTATGTCTGATCCCCTTGCTAGGATGAAAATCTTTCAAAAACACCCCCATTCTAAAGGACCTTTATAAAAAAACAAAGTAATACAACCCATAATCACCACTGACATACTTGCTTGTAAACCAATCTCCTCCAAAATGCTTCTGATAAAATTCCACCTCAACCTGTCATGGGCTTTCTCCAAATCCACTTTTATAGCAAAGAAGTCTCTCTTTCCCCTCATTGTACTCATGGCGTGAAATAGTTCTTTGGCTATAATGATGTTGTCTTGTATGTGTCTGCCTAGGACAAAGCTCAAATGAAAAGAGGCACTAGGTTAGGAAGGATTGGCTTAACTCTAGAAGATAACTTTAGAAAATCCCCTTGTAGATAACATTACATACCGAGATGGGCCTGAATTAAGAGGTAGTCTTTGGTCTTTCCACCTTTGGAACAAGGACAAGGAAGGTCTTGTTGACTAACTTGACACCTTACTTCCTTTCCAAAACATCCTTGACAAACTGGGAAACCTACTTGCCCACAATAGACTGTGATTGCTGATAGAAGCATTTAAAGAATTCATATCAAAGAAAGCCCCTATAATCTCCTCACTAGGGAAAGGTTTTGAGAGCTACACCAAAATTCTCATGATTAATTGACATTAAAGGAGGGAATTGGATTACCATACCTCTCAACGAGTCATCCTCCAAGTAAAGAAGTTTATAGAAGTTTGTTGCCATAGTGTGAAGCTCTTCTTGATTCTCCAATTACTTCCTATTTTTTGCATTAAGCATCACAATTTTATTTCTTCATCTATGGCAAAGAGTCTTAAGGTGATAGTGCTTTGTATTTTTGTGACCCTCATTAATCCACTTGGTCTTGGATTTTTGGAACCACAAGATCTTCTCCTTTTCTAGGACTTTGGCCATCTCCTCATTAAGTTGACTCTCCAAGTCCTCCAAAAAAGGGTTCCTTCTCCTTAAGCCTTCTAATCTCCTCTAAATTCCTGCTAATCTAGTCAAAAAAGATTTCTTCCTTCCATGAATATGCCCAAACACATCTTTGTTCCAATATTTGAGACTCTGCACCATGTATTATATGTTTTCCACCAAAACCACATCCTCCTTCTAGGCTGCTCTGACACAGTTCTAGTAATCTTCATGTAACGTCCAAGCTTAATTGAACCTGAAAGGTCTAATCACTCCATTAGTTAGGAGGCCACGGGTGCAAATGAGAAAAAGATTATGATCAGAGAATTTGACCCTCTATAGGACTTTCACTTCTACTTCATAGAACTGCATCCTCCATTTTGGTTGGCCAAAGCTTTATCAAGCTTCTCAAGAATTCTCTCCTAGCCCTGTGTTCTCGGCCCTATCCAAGTGAAGCTACTACCAACTGCTCCAAGGTCAATTAGCCCACACCTATTAATACGATCCCTAAAATTATTTGCTCTTCTCCAATTGAACCTACCCCCCCTTTTCTCCTTAGTTGAAATAAT